TTTTATTTCGACGGATTCAGATTCAGCTTGCAATCCTGATGAAAAATATGTATAGTTAAAAGTAAGTATAACTATAAGTTATCGAATTACAAAACTCGCGAATTTCTTCCGCGCTTCTAAAATGCTTCTCATTGCATTTTTTTTATTTCTGGATCGCGAACTTACCAATATATCTACTCAAAAGGATACATATTTTTCATCAGGATTGCAAGCTGAATCCGAATCCGTCGAAATAAACGGACAATTTTCAAATATTAAAAAAATTGGTTCGCAAATTATTCGCCACCAGTAGATCATCAAGGGTCACGCCGCCAGGTAAAAACCCGGCGCGGAAACAATGGAAAGGTATCCTCGACCCGTCGGTGGATTCGGACACACTCCAGAGGCACCACGGACGCACCTAGGACGCACCTCGAGTGCACCCCGAGTGCACTCGAAGCGCACCCACTCTCACACTACACACTTAGTGCGTTCGGAGTGCACTCGGAGTGCACTCCGAACGCACTAAGGGCATTTTATTTTTACTAGGGCCGAGAGAGTCCAATACCGCGTATGGTGTGCGGAAAGCAATCAACGGAAACTTTCTTATCCGAAACCGAACCATTACTTTCGATTCGGACGGACGACTAATCTTGGACGGTGATGAAGAGGTGTTCGAACCGACACCCGGGTTCTTGGAGCTCCTTTTTAAGAAACATCCACGTAATTACACAGCAGATGATCGCGCTAAATTCGAGTAGTTACGCTCACCAATGCGCATCGTTGGGATCATCATCCACATGGTAGACCCAAGTCGAACCGCAGTCGTAAATACCGCGATCTCATCAAACCTTTGTTTGCTACATCGACTCGAGATCAACGAGGAAGTCACCGCATAAAAAATTGAAGAAAGGCTCCGGTATCAAAATTCATCGTGCGAAACGGGAACTCGTCGATCGGGACGATCCGAACGAATTAGTCCAACGTCTCGTTATACTTGTAGCTTCGAAACAAGCTGATCACACCCATCACGATCGTGAAATTCTGAGTATCGTTGAAGAGCTTCGCGAAGCGGATCACATCCACTAAATATAGGTTCCGCACAAAAATGAGTCACACCGACCGGTTTGGAAGATCGAAAGGGACTTACTATCGCAACTCGAAGCAAAGGTCCCAAAGGTTCTAACTGGATCCCGACGGGAATTATCTCGTATCCTATCCAACAAACGGATACGACAACTGCAAGATCCTGAAGAGTATACCGACGCCGTGAACAAGCAATGGACAGACTCGAGGTGGACTGAAGCTTTGAATTTAGCACAGCTTTGTTTGGAGAAAACGGAAGAATGCAAAAATATCATGCAACGACTCGAGACGAAATTATCACCACTGGAAAATAGGATCAATCAATTAGAGGTTGTGAATAGAGCGAAAGGAAAATAGTGTAGGTAACGATGAATCACACCAACGGTTTTGGCCGATCGAAATTCCGCCGCAGTCCTAAAGGCGACGGATTCTCACTGGATTCCGACGGTAATTATATCGTATCGAACAAACGGATTCGTCAAGTGCAAGATCCCGAAGCGATAAAGATGCGGTGAACAAACAATGGTCTGAAAGGAAGTGGAAGGAAGCCATGAAATTAGGTCAACACTGTCTGGAGCGTATCCACCAACTTCAGCAATCTTACAATCGTCTAACTAAAATAGTATAGCATCGAAACAGCATTTGAATCGAGAGAGTGGACGACGACGTCGACCGTAATTATGTCGGCAGAGAAACGTGGGATCGTCGAGGAGCTACATAAACCTGCACGACGGAACTATCCGCATCGTAAAGTACGAATTCTCGGATTGTTCGATTTATGGCAAGCCGATCTCGTCGAGATGCAACCGTACGCCTCGGTCAACAAAGGCAACAGATATCTCCTCACCGTTATTGACGCGTGCTCGAAAAAGGCGTGGGCCGAACCACTCAAATCGAAAACGGCCACGGATGTCACTGATGCCATGCAACGCGTTCTCAAAGCAGTCGAAAAATCATTGAAACATTTACAAGTTGATTTGGGCTCGGAATTCTACAACTCGAAATGTCAAGCATAGCGTCACGAGATCAATATGTACAGCTCGTACTCAACAACGAAAGCCTCTATTGTCGAGCGATTCAACCGAATGCTCAAAACGAAGATGTGGAAAGAGTTCTGCGCGCAGGGATCGTACAAGTGGGTAGATCTATTACCGAAACTCATCCGTGAATATAACGGGAGTGTTCATCGCACCATCGAGATGAAACCAATTGATGTCACCGAAAAGGATGTACCGATGATCCTGCAAAAGCTTCGTGGGCCGCCGCTGAGTAAAATTGAAAAGAGACGTCTGGCCAGACGAAAATTGAAAGTCGGTGATTACGTCCGGATCTCGAGACTCAAAGCCATATTCGAGAAAGGATACACACCGAAATGGAGCACGGAAATTTTCAAGATTGTCAGCGTCAATCCGACCGTTCCGATCACGTACGATCTGAAAGACGCGCATGATACGAGCATCAAAGGATAATTCTACCGCGAAGAACTCCAACCCACCAACCATAAGGATACGTTCCTTGTGGAGATAATTCTGCGTCGCAAGAAAATCCAGTCTCTTGTCAAATGGTTGGGTCTGGACGCGAGTCTCAACAGTTGGACCGACAGTAAGGATTTCGTATAAATAGTATGCATTCTCTTCTCAGTATCGTAAGGAAGAAATCTTGATCGATGAAATAATTCTCATCACCATCATCGTAGTTGTTGGCGTGAATTCCGCAGTGGTGGAAAACTCATCCGAAGCAAACTTCACAATGTGCCCGGTCCATCCGGAAATCAAATGCGCACCCTCTACCTTGACGGACGTTCTTCTATTCATCTTGAGTTTAATGGCGCTCATTTGTTCCGTTCCGCACCTGTACTCCAAGTACTTATCATCCGACTGCAAGTTCCATTTCACCAGGATGTCCCGTTTTTTAAACTCGGCCGTTTTTTAAACTTGGACGATTTTTAAACGCGGACGTTTTTTTATACGCGGACGTTTTTTAAACGCGGACGTTTTTTAAACGCGGACGTTTTTTAAACGATGAGGTTTTCTAAGCGCGGGTGTTTTTTAAATGCGGACGTTTTTAACCTGTAACAGTTAATATAAAAAAAAAATATATTTTTGATTCATCAAACTGAACATTGCACTATCCAATCCCAGTTGCTCATCGCAAAACACAAGGTTCCGATACGCATCTCCAAATGCAAACCGCCACTAAAAATTAAAATTCCCGAATCAGGCCCTACTCTCTAGTCTCCGATACCAGACCCATCCTGGAGAAGAAGGTCTATCGAGCCCCGAAAATTTTACAAGTCCGAAAATCCGGTTTTTTTTGCTCAATCTGACAAGAATGTACGGAAAAAGTATTCAATTTCTTGCTCCGTCTGGCTATACTGTAAAATTACGTGTTGCCAAATTTCACCGATAATTAAATCATTTATTTATGTGCACCGTCCGGCAACGCTATTGCATTAGTGTAACATGCACCATTGCATAACCCGCATATTGAAGGGGTTACATACACCATTGCATTACCCGAAAAAATGAAGGGTAATATACACCATTGTATAACCCGCATATTGAAGGGGCTACATGCAATACCTCGTATAGGGGTAACTACCCTTCAAGGATATTTACTGTTTTTTTACTGGGCTCAAACCGCCCTTTCTACCCTACTAAGGAGGTGCTGTAGCTGAGTATGTGACTTGGAAAATCCAAGAGGAAAGTGAATTGATGCTATAAACCTACTCAGAAAGCTGAATTAATCACTGTAGGTAGTTCAAGGTTTCCACCATTTCCAAACTGCATGCCAAATTGCCCTCGATAAGCCCTTTGAGAGATATATTTTATTTACCGCTAGCATTATTCTTTCCCTTTGGACAGATTTTGAAGGAGTTCCTCTAGCAGTTAGTAGTATGTGACATGAAAAATGGGGACAAAATATTTTAATTGTTTATTAGCCCAGAAGAACATGTATTCAAAGTATCAGCAATTTCTACTAGGTAAACTTCAACTAAAACTTTGATCAACTTCAACAAAAACTCGGACCAAACTTCATCCAAAAACTCTTCTACTCTCGTGTAGGACCTTTCTGCGGACTTTTGCGTAAACGCCAGACCAAAGCACGTCAATTAATCAACCATTTCACATAGCAGCGGCAGCGGGCGAGGCCTTCCATGGCTAAGACCAAGACCGTACATCGTGCCCTAAAATCCGCCCCTCGGGAGAGGTCGCCTCGTGCCGCTATCTAAAACAAATCAAGCGAAAACGTGCTGAGCAGTAAGGCCCAGGCCGCCAATTGTTCTGTCCCCCACAAATCAGTGATATATTTGCGGTTGTCTCACTCTTTGATTTATCATCTCATTTTTTTGAGCTGTTTAGGATATCTGGTACCTCTAGACATTGATATTTCCCTTATATTGTTAGACATGGATATCTTAGCTATATACCAAACCCACCTAAGTCCTCCCCTCCATCACTTACAGTTATAACTAAATCTCATGAAAATTTGTGCTAGCCTGTACATTTAAGCCCTAAATTCGTGAATGGGGGGTTATGGAGGATTCAGATCTTCAAGGGCGGAGAAATTGGTTTTTTGGCATAAAGATGATATTTTCAGGACATTATTGCACTGGGCATTGAAATCTTAACCTCAGCATTTTTCTCTTCTCTAACTTAGTTTTCGAGATTTTTGTGTTTGAATAAACATCACAAATAATACCGATATAAAAGAAACTGTGCCAAGGACTTATACGAATGACGCCATTCCCGTTTTGAAGCAATATCAGACCAATAGCCAACTGTGGGCTTTTTAAATAATGGTAGTATTCGTTTGCTTTTTCAGCAGATTTTCTCTCAAAACTTTATTCTGACCCCTCATTCATTGTTACCAGGGATCCTACTGGGGAGACCACAATTGGGAAGTCGGGGACAAATTTGACAGTGATGCGCGGAAGGCTTACGAGGCGCTCTTGAGGGTGTCTCTGCTCGAACCCACAAGCCCTAAGTTCCAGGACTTTGCTGAAGTCGTTCGCCAGAGAGCACAAAATGAGTACAACTACACGTACTCAGACGACGAAGATGTATGTCTTATGGGTTTGGAAATGTTGGATTCTTCATTCATGTTCCTCACAGCAAAGTAGCACTGTTTGATTTCAGCAGCAGCAGTTAGCTTGCAGCAGAGTGCTCCTAATACATTGTAGGCAAACGTAACATACAGGGTGTCCCACAGCACTCGTACCAGCAGCCTGGTAGTTGAATTTTTTTGTTTGTCGGGACAATATAGATGCCACAGGTTAAAACGCGGAGCGTAATTGGTCGGCTATGTATTGTCGCTGCTTTGTCGTGCCTATGTCGGGTTGAACGCACGACAAGCTATCGACACATCTTAAGTTTCCGACAGTATGCCGTCCATTCCACCTGCAGCCTGATTGTTGAAATTTTCTGTTTGTCGGGACGACATAGATGACATAGGTTAAAAGGCGGAGCGTGATTGGTCGGCTATGTCTCATCGCTGCTTTGTCGTGCTTTTTTCAGGTGGAATGGACGACATACTGTCGGAAACTGAAGAGGTGCCGTTAGCTTGTCGTGAGATCAAGCCGACATAGGCACGACAAAGCAGTGATAAGACAGCCGACCAATCACGCTCCGCCTTTTAACCTATGTCATCTATGTCGTCCCGACAAACAAATGATTTCAACAATCAGGCTGCTGATAAAGCACGACAAAGCAGCGATAAGACATAGCCGATCAATCACGCTCCACCTTTTAGCCTATGTCATCGATGTTGTCCCGACAAACGAAAAATGTCAACAATCAGGCTGCAGGCCTTTTTTTCGGTTGATTTAGGTCGGACGAAGTCAGCAACCGCGGGATTGAATATGGAATCGACCCCAAGGAATTCGAATTTCATGGTCTCGAAACTCCCCCCCCTAGGCCCCCTTTGGGGGGGGGGGGGTCACGATCCGGAAAGTCGGGATTTTCGATCTAATTTCGATTCGATTTCATTTGAATTGATTAGTCCGAAAAATTTACGCGAAATCGACCCCTATTAACTATCCAAAATCGGACCACTTTACGCCGAAAAATGATCCTTTCAAGAGGGAGACAGCGGCCCCCTCCATAATTTCCCTTTGATCAAAAATTGACGCAGATTCTCTGGGTAAAGTTGGTGTAGCGGGTAATCGACCCATAGAAATCCGATTTGTACGGTCCCGAAGCCCTCCTAGTCTCCCTTGGGGGGTAAATGGAGAAGGCCAAATTTCAATAGATGGAGGAAATTGTGCCCCCTATTTTACCCCCCCCCCCAAGGGAGGCTAGGGGGACTTTGGGACCATACAAATCGGATTTCTTGGGGTCGACTACCTGGTAAACCATCCTTATCCGGAGAATCTGCGTCAATTGTGGGCCAAAGGGAAATGATGGAAGGGGCCGCTGCCGCCCTCTTTAAGGGATCATTTTTGGGCGTAAAATGGTCCGATTTTGGATTTTTAGGGGTCCATTTCATGTGAAATTATTCGTGCTTTTCAATTCGAATCGAAATTCGATCGAGAATTCCGACTTTTAGGATCGTGACCCCCCTTTAGCCCCAAAAGGGAGCTGTGGGAGGGGGTTTCGACACCATGAAACTCGAATTCCTTGGAGTTGATTCCCATATCAACCCCGCGGTTGTTGACTTCGTCCGACCTAAATCAACTGAGAAAAAGGCCTGGTATGGGTGCTCTGGGACACTCCGTATTAAACCTTTTTAAAAGTGTAAGTAGGTACCTACTCGGTTTTAAATATGATGGTGGAAAAAGAAGTGGCACAGTTCATGGAGACGTAACTTAGAGTCGTGACACACACCATAGGTCCGAGTGCTGCAAACAACACCGAGGAGAAAGAATAATTTTTTTATTCCGGCATGAATAAGGGGAGTGCGGAGGGCTTCCCCTGGAAATTTTTGAAAATTTTACTGCATTACATAAAATGCATTATGAGGCTATCAACGTCAATTCTCATTGAAAATTTGATGGATTATGTGGCTAATTGTATTGCTCTCTCCGTACTTCTCAATTGGATTTTGTGGAGAGAAAAGGAGCTTGATCTGAGGTCCAAATTCTGGGGGGAGAGGCAAATGATATTGTTTCAATTTCTAGACCTGACCCCACAATAGCTCTATGATGTTGTGGTTTTTTTTCTAGGTAAATTTCTTTGTGGGAGCGTTCTATGACGGAGTGTACTTGCTAGGCATGGCATTGAACGAGACCCTTACAAAAGGCGGCGACATTCACGACGGAAAAGCGATTACAAGATTAATGTGGTCCAGAGACTTTCATGGTATGGCATATGCGTTTTATAAATGTATATATATGTGTGTGTGTGTGTGTGTGTGTGTGCGCGCGCGCGCGTGTGTGTGTGAGGGTGTGTGAGGGTGTGTGTGTGTGTGTGAGGGAGAGGGTGAGGAAGAGGTTGAGGGAGAGGGTGTGTGTGTGTGTGCGTGTGAGGGAGGGTGGGTGTGTATGTATGTATAAATTCATACACAATATTTGTCAATCTTGGTAAAATGAAAAAAGCTAAGCCGATTTTCGTGTGTACGTAACTATCTTTGTTGTATTTGGTCGATCAATTAGCCAATCAGAAAACGTTTTGGTCTTGGCTCAACCTTGGCTCGTTGATAAATTCCTTTCCAAATTATCGTGATTTTCGGATAAATCGACACACATTGTGGTACATCGTATTGGATGAGATTAGGGCCGGAGCCATTGACGAGACTATATAATAGATATTATTACATTTTACAAAACCCAAGACGGGGATGACGGTTCACAGTTCACATACGATCATACGAGAACAGACATCGATAGCTGCGCAGTTAGAACTCAAACTGATAACATCGATTATAGACGAAGTGATGTAGATTGCCATAGATGGCAGCACCCAGCAGGGAGCGCATGTAAGATGCTCGACATTCAATCGAATGATATCAAATCATAATATAATTTCAACACTTCCCCTTATTCGAATGAGATTACATCATTAAAAGCATAATAACATAATATAGTTTTAACACTTCCCCTTCATCAAATGTGATTAAATGCAAATACAGTGAGAACTATCCATTTGATTAAAAAACAAGCAGTGAACTCCAACACAATGTGTTGATAAGGCGCGTCATTAACTCGCACATATCAACCCCTTTAGTTATCATTTACAGAGATTTCAAAATAGGCAAGTAGCACAACAAGAGAATTCATACGATCCAACACTGAGAGGTCAACGACGCACTTTGACGAGACCGTGTATTGTGAATGTAAAAAGCCATTCGAACGAGTTTAAGTTTTTTGATCTGGCCCAAGCAAAACCTTATCAGATTCTTAAAGAAAAGTGCTACAGAATAATTTAAGCGAAGAAAGAAAAAAATTTGTCGAACTCCTGAAAGATAAAGTCGATTTAAAGGTATTTTGGGGCTAAAATACCCAAATCACCGGCATTATAAATCCCGTTATATTATTGAAAAGAAATTGACTCGATATAAATGCAATTGCATTAAATACATATGTCTTGATTTTGTTATTTCAAACGTATTTCCATGGAAAGCAGTTCAACCATGTCCATGCTTTATTCATTCATGAATTGAAAGTAAGCAATCTACATCCCGAAAATCTACCGATTTGCCGTAAAAAATTGCAGAAACTTGATATACCAAGTCGATGCACCCACTCGTTGAATTTACCAACCAATTTCGTGAGTGCAAATATGTAAAAATGAATATGCTATAGTCATTTTGGGTGCATTTACTTTTCATGAAACAATAATAATTTCAATACCGAAAAACCATCAAATTAAATAATCAATTAAATCAATATCGAAATGTGTCGACTCCCTGACGTGAACATTGGATTCTACGTGTAAAAATACTCACGTATCGATATGCATATCAGAAAACCAGAACCAGAACAGAAACCATGTGTGGACACAGTTAGCAGTCCGCGGCAACATCCATTCAACAGAATAATGGTAAAAATTAGATAGGATTTTAGCCGCTTTGCCCGCCTCTCCTCGTTATTTACAAACCGTTCCTATACTCATCTCAAAATTGTTCTCAGAGCTTTGTGTTATTATCAGCTTCCATCTAAGTCCCGGTTCGATGACCGAATCGGCTGCCCAAAAAGCAAGCCATTTTTGAAAGGTTCTATGAGAAATTCGTGATATTATCGGCTCTCAGGAAATCACCCCATGGCTATAATTGGTGGTATAAATGTTTGAGTGCTTAAAATAATCGTTTTCAAGAAACCAAGGCATTAAACTATGGAGTTAGTTTCTTTTTAATAATATAACGGGATTTACTCCCGGTGATTTAGCTATTATAGCCCCAGAATACTTTTAAAGCGCCTTTATTTTCCAGAATCTTGACGGAATTTTTTTTAGCTTAAACGACTTAAGAGACACTGTAGTTAAAAAATATAAAGAATTTTCGATTTTGACAAAAAAAATGTTCGTTCAGGCACACCGTGTATTGTATGGAGTACTGCTGCTATTCAAACCTTGTCTTCAGGTCAAAATTCTTACAAGGAAGCCCCTTGCAAGAGGCGAATTTTTTGTAATTTCTCCTAATTTTTTCTCCGTTATATAATTGAATAGCTTGTCAAATTCTGAGGTCAATTATATTTAATTGTAATTTATACATTTCTTTTTTCCCCTTCATTTTATTTTTTGTCTGGAGAAGTTTCGTTGATTTCTTCGGATTTCGAATACTGTAACTTCTCTTCTATTCGGCCGATTTTTATGAATGAGACCTCTTTTAATTTGTCTTTTAACGGAGAGTAAGGAAAAATTTGCTAAGTACACGCGAAACAATTTTTTTTGAAAATTGGACGAATCCTAGCGTGACGGTGAAATGGTTAATCAAGCGTAAAATCAAGGGTGAGGGTCCGCGGGTCGGGTCGCTCGGGAGGACAAAAGACACTGCCTCGGTGTCGGGACACAGGTCCGGTGTGCGGGGAGGAGAAGGGTAAGTGGTTTTCTGTAAAAGCAAACTGATTTCTGTATGTGTTATGGTTAGCACATGGTCTAATAAGTTTTGAGGCTCATCACAGATTGCACTTACGTCTATCCTGGGATGGCCTTCGCTATCAGAGGAAAGGTACCAACTTTTGAAAAGCCTAATAGTGGTGTGGAGATCTGTCAAAGCAACGTTATGAACGAAACGGAGGAGTAAAATTCTCATTCCTAGAGTGCCGGCCTGGTCAGCCATCCTCGAATCAGTTCGCTTGTTTCTGCTTATATATGCATATTTTAAATCAGCGCGTCGCATTCTTAGGCTTTTTTTAAAAAAACCAAGTAACGTAGACTCTTGGTATTCATTGCACATAAACAAGAAAGCCCCAGAATGAGAAATACATTAGAATCATAATTATTGACGGATAAATAAACTTTTTACACGCTTTGGAAAATCTCAGAAGTTCGCGGTAGTCACTTTTCGGTAAGGAACTAAGGGACTCGGTTATTGTATCGAGCAGTGTTCGAAACGATCGCAAAGGCGGTATACTACGTATACGCGCCAAAAATGTTGTTTAAGTACGATATATAAATAAAATGGTGACCGTCACTTTGATTCAATATTTTGAAAACCACCTAGGTTTTTTATGCAACTACGATGTATTTTAATTCCTAGAGGTTTTGTTAGAATACATCAGTTGGCATTTGTTCAGCTGGTAGAAATAACAATTTAATTTTGCCAGCGGTGTATGCACCTTTTGTAAAAGGATGTCAATATGTATATACAGGGTGTCTCACGAAAAACGAGCCACCTTGAATATCTGCCGAACGCGTCGGAATTTCGAAAAACGGTAAAAGACGTGTTCGTTTATATCGAGGGGGACACCTTTTGCCGTATTCGACATTTTCCCAAACCGCGGGAGGGGCGCGGGGCGGGGATGCCCTACCCGTAAGTCGAACTTTTCAAATGGTACCCCTACTTTTTTATTGCAGAAATCAATTTTTCGCAAAAAAACA